TCCACAGCCTTCCCGGGCCGGCGGCGACCCGGTCAACCCAAACGCTACCGCCAGGGCAGCGGGTCAGCTCCGCCGCCCGGCCGCATGGGCCCCTTGCCCAAACCTCAGCCCACGACGGCCCATCTCTCACCGAGGACGCAGACGACCGGCGGCGCAAAAGAGGGAGGTGTGCAGCCGGTGCTCTCGCGGGTCCGGCACGGTGACCTGGTACTGGCGGCGGCGGCTCCTCGCGCTTTCCTTTCTCTCCTTTCTCCAACAACAAACAGGAAATGCGTCACGCGGCGGCCGCGCGGCGACGTTAACTTCCGCCCGGCCCTGACGCCGCGCATGCGCGAACGCTACCATCCGCGCCGCGGCTCGTACTCGTTCTCGTCCAGCTCCAGCCTTCGCGAAGGTTCTAGATGGATCGGAGGCGGGGCCTTCCTGGGATTTAAGGCTGAGAAGGTGTTGGGCTAAGCGGCCTCTAACCTGGAGGACCGGAGGACTCACCTGGCCGCGGTGTCCGACTGCACTCCCTGGCAGGTGCGGGTCCCAGTGCTCCGGGTGGGGGGAGTCAATGCCTCCACCCTACCAACCTGCCCTGACTGTCACGGCCCTCTCCTCGCTGCCTCAGCCTAGCTATCCGGCGTGGGGGCTCTTCGCAGCCCTGTCTCACTGAGTCAGGGCAGCACCCACCCACGCCCGTGGTCTTATCCCTGTCACCCGGAAGCCTCAAGCCTTTACGGTCCCCAAAACTGGCATCCTGGGGACACAAGCCTTTATTTACTGTGCCCTAGATTGCAATACTGAAAATACAGCCTTTACTGTCCCCTAAATTGCCATGTACCCTGACCTTCTCCCACATAAGGAGGTTGGCAAAGGATTGAAACTCTAGCCCAGCGTGGTGGCATATACCTGTCATCCCAGCACTCGGGAGGCTGAGGCAGGAGGATCTGTCCCGAGTTTAAAGCCAGCCTAGTGAGTTCAAGGCCAGTCTGAAATACATAACGAGACCCTCTCTCTCTCCAAAAGAAAGTCTTACCATAAAAGATTTCCTAGGCCTCCTTATCACCGGCTTATCTAACCTAACAATGGCCTTCCTGAGCCACAGGAAAATGAGCCTGTCAAGACTGCGAACTTGAACATATCATTTTAAACGTAATCCAGGTGCTCCTATATCCACAAGGTGCTAAATGATCCAGGAAAAGGACAGTATTTAGATAGTCATATTTGCTGACTAGACCTTTTCTCCATAGCCTCAAACCCTGAAAACTCCAATTCTCATCCCGATGATATAGGATTCCTCTCTGGGAACCTCGCCAACCCTTGGCAGCACACCTTTATTACAGACAGATGAGTGAAGCAGATGACAGTGGGCAGCTAGAGGGGCCCTGGGCCCAAGATAGAGTCGACAACCAGGTGTAGGTCAGATAAGCAAGATAAACCAAAAGTTATCAACCAGATAGATAATTAAGTCTAGGGTTGTAGGTCAACTTCTGCTCCTATCTGAAAAATACTTTCTTCCTTCTCACTTTGTTCTTTTAATGAACCACTTGGCCAGTAGAACCTGTAGACATGCACTTCCTACATGCCTCGGTTCCTCATAGCTCCATTTCTAGTTTAAATGAGCATGTTTTAGTCCTATATATTGACCTTAGTTTGACACAGAGTACTCTGAGCTCTGGAGAATTTTTTGGTATAAAAGCCTCTAGGGGCTGGGTATGATGGTGCATGTCTGCAATCCCAGCACTCTGTAGCTGAGGCGGTAGGATTACAGTGAGTTCAAGGACTGCCTGGGCTACACAGTAAATTCAAGGCCAGCCTAAACTACATAGTGAGACCTTGCCTCAAAAACAAAAGAGCTGGGGATTTAACTCAGTGGTTCCACCACCTGCCTTGCAGTGCAAGGTCCAGAGTTTGATCCTCAGTACAAGAAAAAAAAAATGCTGCTGGTCAAAGAGTCCCCCTAGTATCCCAGTTTCTGGTCCCCTCCCAACTATTGGAAGCTTGTTCTCTCTTCTTTTTATTTTTTTAGTTTTTGGGGTACCGAGGATTGAACTCGGGTCCTTGCGCTTGCAAGGCAGGCCACTGAACCACTGAGCTAAATCCCTGGCCCTTCAATCTCTCTTCTTCTTTTTTTTTTTTTTTTTGTTGTTGTTGTTGTTGTTTTTTGAGACAGGGTCTCACTATGTAGTTGAGACTGACCTGGAACTCACTATGTAGCCTAGGCTGGTCTCGAACTCACAGCAATCCTCCAGCCTCAGCCTTCTGAGTGCTGGGATTACAGGTGTGCCTTACCACGCCCGGCCTGGGCTGGGTATTCAACTCAGCGGTTCTGCCGCCTGCTTTGTAAACCCAAGGTCCCGAGTTTGATCCCTGGTACCAAAAAATAAATAAAGGTGCCTTTACACTCCTTGTTGATTGATAAAATTATTTTTACTGCCCTCGGCACTAGCCTCCTGTGTGCCTCTCACATTGTTCACTTGCCTTTCTCTTACCCCCACATATGCAATAAGTTTTAGATACCTTTCCTCTTGCTTATCTACCTGCTGTCAGTTTATTTCGTGGACTCATTGAATAAAAATTATAGAAGGCCGCCAGGAATTTAGCGCAGTGGTTTTGGCGCCTGCTTCATAGGCTCAAGGACCAGAGTTCAATCCCTGGTACCAAAAACAAAAAACAAAAAACAAACCCAACATTATATGTAGCGCCACTCTTTTAGACTAAACTAAACTCTTGCTCTGGGCCCCAACACACCAGACTAAAAGGCAAAATGAAGGCACTAACTAACTAACCCTAACTAAAAACCAAACTGAAAGTAAATCAATTCCCTGATCTTCTTAGTCAGGGTTCCCGTAGCAGGTCAGTTTCAATTTGCATGATAATGAAGTTCCTTCTGCCTTAGTCCTTTCGCATAAAAGGAACCTAAACCAACATAATCTAAGCACTCTGGGAGAGCCAGAATTCAAGGCCAGCCTCAAAAAAATAAAAAACAAAAACTGATGTTGGCCAATCTCCCCCCCTCATTGCCTGTCTCACAAAGAAAGTAAATTTGAACTGTCCCATCGGTTTTTTGTTTGTTTGTTTCTGCTTTCCTCAGCCCTTCTCCATCTCTAAAACCAACCTCTTTCACTCAACCCATCAGCACACTCCATTTTATGAAAAGAGGTGCTGCCAAATTCTGCAGTGACAAATAATGCCCACTGATACTATTTTTTCTGGAGACAGGCGGCCTCACTAGGTAGTTTGGCAACTGGCCTGGAAGTCAAGGTGATCCTCCTGCCCCAACCCCCAGTGTTGGGATTATAGGAACTAGGAACGTACCACCAGGCCCCGGTCCGGCCCACTGATAATTAAGTCATCATTATCATCATCATGTCCTTTGACAGATCTTGTCACAGAACCCATGGAGAATAGAGGAACAGTTTTCTAGCTCCAACAGTTTCCTCATAACCCACAGAAATACTTGGTGAGCAATTCCAGTTTTTCTACTTCAAGACAGGAGGCTGGCTGGAAGTAAAATTTGGACAGACTAAGACCACTTCACTTCCCAGCAGGCTTGGAGCTCTGGGTACCGCTCAGTGAAGGAAGAGGATCACTTTGTTGCTCATTTAGTTTTTTATTTCTTAAGCCCTAATTATACCACTTTATAGTAGTACATGAGTTTTTAGCAGTGATCTGTGAACAAAAGAAAAAAATTTACAATGAAAAAAATCACTGCAGCAAAGTTTTTCTTCTGAAATAAAGGAAATCCTATGAAAAAATAAGACAATCTGACTCAGTAATCTTTGGTTGTAGTTGGATAAATAATCAAAAGAAAGAAATATCATAATATCTGGATTCAATGTGGACATCTCATAATAAAACCTAAAATAGCCAGGTGTGGTGGCACATCCCTACAATCCCAGCACTCGGGAGGCTGAGGCAGGAGGATCGCTGTGAGTTTGAGACCAGCCTGGGATACATGGTGAGTTCCCAGTCAACCTTAACTACATAGTGAGACCCTGTCTCAAAACAAAACAAAACAAAAAAAAAACCCTAAGAGTCTCAGCAAAGACAGATTTCATTCAGATATATGTATGCCTGTTTGGCTGTCACACTATCTGCCAGCAATGATCATGTGACATTTACTGGGGAAATAAGTCCCTGCAGCTATTGCGTGCTAATCTTTAAGTGTGGACACATGAATTTTAAATAGTAAAGTGGCAGGCTAGCAGCTGGGGATTTAGCTCAGTAGTTCCAGCGCCTGCCTCGCAAGCACAAGGACCCAAGTTTGATCCCCAGTGCGAAAAAAGAAGCACTAATAAAGTGGCAGGCTAGCCACAAATAGCTCCTCTTCCCCCTTCCAAAAGAAATGTATATATAAAAACATATTTAAATCTGGGTATAGTGACACACATCTGTTATCCCAGGCGACCAGAGGCTGAGACAGGAGGATCACTGCAAGTTCAAGGCCAGTCTGGGCTACATAATGAGTTCAAGGCCAATCTGAATTACATAGCAAGAACCTGTCTTTTAAAAAAAAAAGGAGAAAAAAAAAAGTAAAGTTGGACATGATGGCACACATTGTAATCCCAGTGCTCAGGAGGCCAAGGCAAAAGGATTGCAAGTTCAAGTCCAGCCTGGACTCAAACAAACATAGTATATCATTAGGCAAACCAACTCTTACAAAACCAAGTCAAAGTTGGGCGCTGTAGCACATGCCTGTAATCCAAGGATCCTGGGAAGCTGAGGGGTGAGAATTGCCAAGTTTAAACCCAGCCTAGGTAATTTAGTTATTTATGAGTCCCTGTCTCAGAAAATTTAAATAAGGCTGGATATGCAGTTCAGTTTGAAGATCCTGGGTTCAACCCTCAGTACCAGCAACAGAAGAACCCAAGTCCAAGCCAGGTGTGGTGGTACATGCTGTGATTCCAGCACTCAGCAAGCTGAAACAGGAGGATCAAAATTTCAAGCCCAGCCTTAGCATTTTAGTGAAACTGTTATCGGGTAGCTTGCCTCTAACAGTAAGCTCACCAACTAAATGTTACCAGGTTCTGGGTTGCTTGCCTCTCTTCCTAGACTTAGAGTCCTGGTTCTTTTCATCTTAAACAAAGAATTGAACAAAATGGGCAAAAAAGCAGGGCAAAGTTTATTCAAGAAAGTAAAAGTGAAGAATAGGGGAGAAACGCCCTGCAGAGCTTTTGTCCAGTAAAGAGAAAAAGAGGCTAAGAGCAAAGATAAAAGTACACGCTGCCTCTGGGAAGCTATGTGGACTATTGTGGAAAGGTATCCAAATCTGGAGGAAAC